CTTAACAACACATGATATGTAATTTGAACCAGGGAAGCATCGAAGGCTGGGTCCAGGTTAGCAATGGGCAGAATTTATGTCGTAATAGCTTTAGATCAGCACATAGGTAGGAGTCTTAAAGTGAAAACAATGAGTAATTATAGATTTTTATATCTTTTTGTTAAAGATAATGAAAGTCTAATCTTCTAGAAGTAACTGTTTCCTGGTGTGAGAGTTGTTCCTGCCTTTCCCCCATATTGTTTAGCACAAAAATAGAAAAATACATTTCATATCTCAGAATTGTTTGGTTCAGGGAAAGAAGATGATGTTTAGCACTGAATTGTTTAAGCACAGGAACAGGAATGTATGTTGGTCAGTTTCCAGCAATTAAGAAATGAAAATGAAAGCTAAATAATGTCACAAGAGAAGACATCAGTGCCCTTGGCAGAAGCAGTTGCTTTAGATGAATGGTTGGTGAGTTAACACTGCAATGGATTGAGGAGTGTTCAGTCAGAAATTAAGGTCATGTGTACCCATAACACTTTCAAGATGTATGCTTGTCAAAGGAAATAGAAAGGAATAGCTAAGGCTTGAGGAGTTTCTGAGATCAAGAAAAGTTTTTATTCAGTTTGCTTTACGTATCTTAGGTTGGGGAAGTCTTAAGCATGTTAAATTCTAATGGGAAGAAGGCATATTAGATTTTTTAAATTGACTTTTTGTAACTTGAAGCTTTATTTTGTTGGGCCTCAGTAAGTACAAAAATTTCGGTGTCGGATCATAATAACATCTGAGAAAATCTCAGATTGGAAAGATACTGTTAAGTTTATTGTCTCAAGATATAAAAATTACACAATAACTGTAATAATCCAACATCAAATCTTTACTTAATACATATAGAAAACATTGTAAAAATATAATCTCTATTTCCTATAATTTTAAGGTCTTATTTGTTAAACCAGTAAGTCTGGATGTATGATGGGAAGAAGATTAAGTATGGAAACTTAGCTTAAAAGTTTTAATTGTTCTGATGTGGAAAACTCCTTTTTATGTCCTGAGTTGAGGGTCAAGGACAAGTCCTGCTTCAGCCTGAGATTAGAAGACAATTTTGAGGAAATGAGCAGGCACTGTCACAGCGACTTTATTAGGAGAAAATCAAGTCAAACCAATATAACCATTTCTCAGAGAGACCAACCAACCTTCATGAAAAGTAACTAGTTTTCAGAAGTAATAGAGAGAAACTCAAAGCAAAATCTAGTAGTGAACATGAACTCTGAAAAAATAGTTTTGTAGCCTTTCTAGCTCTAAATTATTTCAAGACTCATTCTTTCAAATTACGTTCAAATTCTTAAGAAAAGGCCCGTGTCTTTATTATAGTTGAGATTTGTTAGTGTACCTAGATCTTGGTTGTGATTAGCTTTGTTACTAAATAAGTCCTGTCAAGTTCTCTGCCCTGTTTAATTTTATGTTTATGCTCTCACCAAGCTCTAAAACTGTACTATTCTATTTCTTTCATCATTTGCTCTAATATTTCATTCATCACAGTTTGGGTGACTTGAAGATAAAATACATTAAATTGTTCTCTTACTAACATTTGTCAGGCTATGAAATTCTTAGTGATGTGTAAAATTTTCTGCCCTAAGTATGTTATTTAACTTGTAGGAAATTAACATAAGAATCTGAATGGAGCCTTTATTCCAAACCTCCTTTAAACCAATCTGGAGCCATTTTGCGGGGCTATCTCTAATATTTCAACTTTTACACCCTATTCATGCAGTCTGGTGCTAGACCAGAAATTTCAGCATCTCAAAAGAGCAGTTTTGAGCTACTTAGCAACCTGCAGTCTTGACTTGATTTTTCTTTGTTAGCTGAGAGCCAATAATAATATGTTCATCCTAGATTTAAAAATGTATCTTATGTGGCATTTTGTGACTTTTCTGTTAAATGTGTTATTGTGTGGAAGAATTTTGTTGTTCTCGCCACATATGCCTGAGCCTGAACTCCTAAAATATATTGTGGGAAATGACCATATTCTAGGTTGTAATTTGCAACTTTGTGAAAGGCAAACATGCGGTACAGCAAAATTTCTGTTAGTTTTATTTAAAGGAAAGCTTGTAAAGTGAGATGAAAATTACTATATTGTATAAACAAATACTGTAGATAACAGAGGACACACATAATTTTAATGGATTTAGCTATATAAGATTGTAGATTATTTTATATTTTCTCTGTGTACAAGCACATCTTCTGGAAAGATATCAATTTTATTTTTTCTTGTCTAACTAGTGGGCTTTATTTACTTTTTCCTTGTTTATTTTACACTGGAAAGGCTCTGTAGAAAAATGTTGAATAGGAGTAGTATTTATGGATTTCATTTTCAATCTCAAGGATAGAAGGTTTCAATTATGTATGTTTGCTATATGAATGAATTAGGTGGCTTTATTAATTAAATGTACTCTATTAAAATGTATTCCATAATCAAGTCCAATTTAATTGTGGTGCATTATCAACTACACATTTGATACATTTATTTTTTAAATACATTTCTATATTTGTTTGCTAGTATTTTGCTTAGGTTATTTGTAAATATGTTTGAAGAGAGAATGGCCATTAATTTCCTTCCTTTAACTCCTTTTCAGGTTTACATTGATGTTACATCTGCCTCATTGAATGAATTGTCATGTTCTCTTTTTCTGTTCTCTGACAACTTCTAAGAAAGTCTTTTTTTCTTTTCTTTTCTTTTAGTTTTGCATTGGCTTTACTCTGATGTGTAGTTTTATTTGTTTTATCATAGCATATATTGTGAATCTTGAATCTGTTCTTTGATGTGTTCAGTACATTTTTTAAAACTCTTGGCGATTATTTCTTCAGATAGTTTTTGCCTTATCGTGTCTCTTCTCAGCTTTTATTATAATCATATGAATATTAAAATTTTCTACCATGTATTATTTGTTTCTGAAACTGTTTCTTGTCTTTTATCTCAATATTTTAGTTTAAGTATTTCCTGTTTATTTTTCACACCACTATGTTTTCTTCACCTGTGTCTAATCTGCAAATTCAGTTCATCTACCAAAATCTTAAGTTAAATTATATTTATTTATTTCCATTTTATTTTTTTCATATAGTCTAATGTCTGCAAAACTCTCCAGCTTGCCATCTATATTAAAGTATATGAGTGACAGTTATTTTCACCTCTGTTAAATAACTAATTGTAATCTATCCATTCAGAGAAATTGCAGTACCTGGGAGCTTATTTCTTGTATCTTTATTCCTACACCTTGTTCCTCGTTCCTTTATAGGCCTGTTGTTCTTTTCTTTAATGTCAAGCATTTTATATATATGATATACGCATATACATTACATAATATGCAATATCATATAAATGCAATATATATAATGTAATATAATATACAATATTTAATATATATAAGAAATCATAGAGTCTGGGTGAAGTTATCAGTTTCTAAAGAGCATTTATTTTGACTGTTTGCTGACAGGTTAGATCACCTTACTGTAACTGCACTGATTTGAATCTTCAATTCAGTTTCTATGCTATCCCATCCATTACCAGATCCCTTGACTCCTAGGATAGAGCTCTGAGGAAGTCTAGTTGAGAGCCTGTGTATTTAATAGAGTCCTTCGTACTTTCAGGTTCTTATATTTGAATTTTTATCACTCAACCTCCGTTTAACTTCTCAACCTCCTAAAAGCCATTTTCTGCTTGTCTAGCACTACTTAGCAATCAACAAATACCTGTAGGGGAAAAGTGGGACACAAGCCCCTCACTTGCCCCTCAAACTCTGGCTGCCTTTGGAGCCATAATCCAATATCCATTCTTCCTCCCACATCCCATGATACTGCACAGTCTGCTTAGCTGCCACATTAGGCTGAGCTTCTCAGACTGTCACCCTACATGACTTAAATCAGTAAATACTTGAGAGGGAAAGAAAAAGCAGTCTAGAATTTTGAGCTCACTTCCATGAGTTAACCTTCACTCTATGATCTTAATCCTTCAAGTCCTGGCTGCCTTAGTGCAAATACAAATCCTCAAGTCCTGGTTGCCTTAAACACAAATATCATTTTAATATGTAGCTTTTTTTCTGGTGTTCTTGGTGAGAATTTTAGTCAGCTACAAGTTGCTGCATTGTGCTTGGAAGTAGAATTATCCATGCTTTCTATCTTGAAATAAGAATTTCATTATTATTGCTATGTACCTAATTTATTTTCAATTTTTCATTGTTTTAAAGATTTAGCCTCAGAATACTTAATTGGGTCTGTTGTTTCTATCATGTATCTAAGTATACTAGTGTCCTCTTGATATGTAATATGATATTTTAAAGGCTTCACGTGAAACAGTCTATGATCTTAATAAATGTGGTGGACATACTTAAGTATCATGGATTTTTCAAAAGCTTAAAGTTTATTACATATAAATATATATGTTAGCAATTAAAATATTTACAAGTACTGAGTTAAAACCTTCTATATATTTTTGCTTTATCAGTTAGGTACAGAATATGAATCTTAATGATTTACTTTCAAATTTATTATCAATCTTTTTTACAAAATGGATTCCATAATTTCTCATAACAAAAATTACCTCCTATAAAGCAACATTTACTATAACTTCAAAAGAACCATAATTTAGAATAGTATAATAGATTATCTGCCTCAATATCAAATGGATTAAATTAAGATTTCATTAGAATTAATTTTTGAATAGGCATATTCATAATTTCCTATTTCTGTGACCTTTTTCAGGTTTGCTAACTTAATGTCCTAATAAATACAGACAACTTATCTTTTAAGTCTTTTTAAGATGAGAAAAAAGATGACTTACAATTCATTTATTGCTTCTTAGAGCAAATCGTTTAACCCAAAATAGATTTTTCTGACTTATATTCACAATGATGAAAATAAGGAGAGAGGCATTGATTTTCCCTATAAAATTCTAAACTCTGTGTGTAGTTCTAGACAATAGGGGGCACTTTATAAACACCATCTTTTTTGTGTATTGTTTGCAGGCTGTCAGCAACTAGCCATTCGTTGACACCTCAGAGTGATATGGACTCCAGCAGCTCTGAAGAATTCTATCAGGCTGTTCACCACGCAGAGCAAACCTTCAGAAAAATGGAAAGTTACTTGAAACAACAGCAACTTTGTGATGTTATTCTGATAGTTGGAAACCGAAAGATACCTGCACACAGGTATAGTAATCTGTTTTTATTGGAAATACGCATTCACATGTTCCAAAGTGATAGTCTGGTATGTAGATTGCAAAATACTCTATGATTGGAGAATTAGGAAGTCCACATTTCTAAGAAAACTTACCTTATTTTTCCTTTATTCTTCTTTCTTTCTTTTGGAGGGAGAGTTAAAATGCCATCTTACATTACTTAAATGTAATCTTTTGAAGAAATATAGCAAATACAAGTAGTTTAAAATAATTTTTTCCCTAACTAAGGTTAATAAATATTCTATTTAATGTGACTCACAATCATACTAAGTGGAAATCAACTTTTAACTTAGAAGGATGTACCTAAGATTGGAAATGAGATGTGCTTTTCTGCCAAAATTGAAAAGAAGTCAGGTGTATATTATTTGTTTCAACAGGAAATTCAAAGTATTTCATATTGGCATCTTCATTTTGCAATTTTAAAAAAGTCTTTATGACATGCTAATATTATTCTTAAGGCCCAATATATTTGAAAACTAATATACTTTAAACATTCTTTATATATTTATGATTGATTATTCTAAGTTAGTGCACTAAACACTGATATTTTTGCCACATTGATTTACTATCAATTTACTTATGAAAATTAAATTTGATGTTGGTTTCTTTACTCAGTTTTTCTTTTTCTTAATCTTAAGTGGGAAAGAATTTTAATTTTGAAAACATCATTTTAAGTAGTTGACTATGTGGTCAAATAACCTTAAACTACTTTGATGTATGTCATTTAATATTATTAATACCAATGAATTGACAGAAAAGTTAAATTATCCATATACAAAAAATGTTTTCAATATACTCCTTTTTGTTATATTTTTTAACTTACATTATCTGGATAACATATATACACTGAAATGTGGACTATTAAAAGGGTTCCCCAAAAAATATGGCTAAATTTCTACTTTGATGGAAGTATTAAAATGCGGACATTGAATTTGAACAAATGCACTGCAAATGCATAGGAAGAAACATTTGACCTTAAATAATGAATCTAGGTCATATAGGGATCAAACTGCCAGCTAACGATGGGAACAATTCTAGTAACATGCTATTCACACTTACTTTTCAAGTGTTTCTGTGAAATTGTATTACCATTGGTGAGAGACAAGTAAAAAATACGTATTATTATGGAGACATTCAGAGTTGTAATATAAATGGAAAACATACAAAGTATCCTGTGCTATCATTTAAATAGCATCTAGAGAAAAATTCTATTGTTAGAGTCTTAATTTGAGAGTGTAACTACATTTACTTTATTTAACTAACAAATTAGTTAAGTAATTATATATTTATTTAAGAAGTAGAGGGAATCAAGCAATTCAAAAGTATATTACATAAAATTCTCATTAATTTTTTTTAAAAAAGCAGTACTTAACACAATTTATTCAATTTTATATGCATGCTTTTATTCAGAGTAATTTAATTTTTTTCATTTGGTGGCATTTTTAAGCATTATACTGAACAATTCTCCCATATTAATTATATTCAATTTATTTTATTATTCTTTTTATTTAGTTTACTAATATTATTTTCTATATAATTTGTTTAATTATGCAAGTTGTTTTGTAAAAATGCCATTGACTAAGAAATAAAATTGCTATTTGGTTTAGATTGCTCTAAAACATCTGAGCAATATACTACTTTTATAATAGTATTCTGAACATTTAAATATTTCACATAATTAGCAGACATTAAATTAAATATATTATTGTTGACTATATATGTTTTCCTTAAATGTGATAGAAAAAAATTTATTCTAAGGCTATGTACTAAATTTATTCAAATAAAGATTTAAATTTCCTTTAAACTGTGATTCAAAGCTTTACTGCTATCTATTTTACAAATAATTTACATACTTATGTTTCTAAGTTAAGCATATATTAACAAACATGAGGAAACATTTATGGGACACCTGAAAAAGGCAAGCATATTTTCAGTAATTGTAGGTATATTGAGCCTCTCCCTATTTATACTTTTTATACAATTAAAATGAAATGGTTGTAATTGATTCAAAATAAACTCTTTGCTTTAAACAATTAACAATCTTAGTAATAGTACCAAATGAATGGATTGAAAAATTTTTCTGTTATATTTTGCTTACCACATTTAGTGTTGTCTTGGGGCAAAATATATATGATGTTGCAATCATTAACACTGGATGAAAAGTGATTTACATTAAGATGTAGTGCTCTTTCAGAAAAAACATTGCAAGCTAATGTCATAAGCACTTACTAAATACTAATAAAGGTCATGTATATTTAATTTCATATTATCTTATCATTCAAAACTTCAAATTCTTATTTAAAGAGGCAGATTATGACCATTAAAAAGCTCTCCATATAACCCTTCATTTACATGCTGGTAAACTGTACATATATTTTTAACCTGATGTAAGTCACAGTTATCAATATATTCATGAAATGCCATGTCTATATAGATATGTTAGATTATTGCTAGGCATTTTTTAAAGTACATTGGCTCTGAAAGGCTATTAATGTTTAAGATGACACATTAATATATTTTTTGGCATGAAAATAATAAAAATTCTGAAATCATCCATACTTTAGGTCCTGAGAGAAATTCTAAAATAAATATAGACTTCTTATAAGTGATCCAGAAAAACTGATTAGCAGCAAGTGAACAAAAACACCTGAATGTTAATCCCTGAAATACTAAATACAGCAGGTTTTTTAAAAGGTAAACTACCTGTAATCAGAGATGTCAGATGCTGAAAGTTAGACTGACAGGATCAATATTAATAATTGGATTGTTGAATTTTTCAATGCTAAGAGAATTAAGGGGTTTTCAGGGCCTACTCTGCTATAATGTACAGGTATATCATGAAATATCATTCAGCTTGTGAAAGATTTTTCAACCTTTTATCCATTAAGAATAAATACAATGGACACAAATGCATGAGAAAATCTTAAATGACTAATATCCTCTGAGTCTGAAATAGTATTATTTATACTTTTATGTGCATAGAAATAGTGTGGAAAGGATATAAAATAAACAAGTCAATAAAGCTTATTCCTGGGGAGTAGCTCATAGGCAGGATAAAGGAAGTGCTAGCATTTTGTTTAGAATGTATAAAAATAAGTATTCTGTAAACTCTTTAGAATGAGTTTGTAATAATTTATGATACAATAAAAACCTGAATGAAAAATAAAATGATGATACATGATGGGGACAGGAAGGATCCAGCTTTAGTGACCAAAACACTGGGCATATTCTGTTTTCATTTGTTTGATAATGAACTTAGTTATTTCAAGAATAGATTTATTATTTTAATGTTGTTTAGTGAACACTAATATCATGAAAATAGTTGAAGCTAAAAGTCTCAATTGAAGTGATGTATTTAAAAACACTAAAAACAAATTCAGTACAGTAAAAAAAGATTACTTTAATAAGTAACTTAGATATTAATAGTCAGGAATAGATTAGTAGTACTGTGTCTCTGTATCGGTGGAAAGTTTATTTACATAGATTGTCTTTGAATAGAGAGAAATAACTCATTTATTCCATATTATTAAATCTAACATCCACCTAAATCTCTGTCAGTTTGGTAGTCTATCACAGCTCTGTAGCAGCTTCAGGAAACAAATGGTCCTGGTGCCTGCTGGCTTCAGTGCCCCAGGCAATTGCCACAGTGCCAGGCAGTGCTCAGAGCACCAGAGTCCCAGGGGGCCCCATTGGACTCAGGCTCCCAGCACATCCCAGATCAGCCTGCTTGCAAAACCCAGGAAGGCTCCTGGGGCCCCAGGCTTCCAGTCCTCCCCCTGGAGGCTCGGCTGTAGGAGCGATTCTGTGAACCCAGCCAGACTAACACCACATTTGATCCAACTGTTAAGCTTTTGATGCACCCCAGCATCAGACCAGCTCCAGAGGCCGTGGGCCCCCTAGCCCATCCCAGTGCCAGTCTGGCCCCTACAGACCTTGACTAAAGATGGGCTTCCATGGATCTGGGCTCTTGTTTGTCCCAACATCAGGCACACCCCAGCTTCAGGCCAGCGCCCAGCTCCCAGGCTGTAGGCTGACCTCAGAGGCCTCAAGCTCCAGGCTCACCTGAGCACCATGCCAGGCACAATGGCCCCAGCTTTTAGTCTGGCTCCCACCAAACCATGCTCCCAGAGCATCCCAGTATTAAACTAGCCCTATGAGCCCAGATACCAGCCCAGCCAGTAACCCCTGGAGCCTGGCTGGCCCCTGTAGACCCAGGACGCAGACCCACCCATGTAGACCAGGTCTCAGGCCGGTCACTTCCGATTCAGGTGCTAGGCTCACCTCGCAATCCCACACTCCAGGCCAGCCCACCTGCTGAGCCAGCCACCAGACCAGCCTGCCCAAGGTCTCCAAAAGAAGCCTTCCTGCAGGCACTCCCAGCTGCCCACCCAGAATCTCTGGCTGGCTGACTGGTGAACAGCTTTGCCTGCCAAAGCCAGTCAGGAAAGAACGGAAAAGGCACATATTTCCTCAAATGCACAGACTAATGATTATGTGGTCACAAGGGTCATGAGCTGAGAGAGTTTGTCACTAGAACTGCATTATGAAAATTGCTACAAGGGGTTCTTCAAGCTGAAATGACTCCTTAGTACCATGAAAACATATGATGGTGTGAAATATACTAGTAAAGCTAAGTATATAGTCAAGTTGAGAGTAATCTAATATTAAAATAGGATGTTGTGTTAACCACTTAACTGTAGTATAGAGGTTAGAGGACAACTGTGTTAAAAATTAATTAGTTAATAGATTATAATTAATAAGTTAATAGATACAATTAATAAGTTAATAGATAGTATAAGTTAAGTTAATAGTATAAAAATAGGTAAATTGTGACAGTAGCATATAAAATACAGTAGAATATAAAATACATAGAATTTTTGTATGTGATCTAAATTAAGTTATCAGCTTAAAATAGAAATCTGTATTTATTGGACAGTCTGTGTAACCCTTACAGTAACCAAAACCCTACAG